GCGTTGTACCTCGAATTGGAGTTGCTGCCTGGGCGACGGTATGTATGGTCGGATTTGGCGACATGGTGAAAGATGCCGTTGGGTCGAAGGCTTGAATTAATTATGGGCGTATGATGGGGTCGGTCGCGGCACGTAGAGACCGCAACGGAATATTGGGATTAAAGGCTTTAAATCAAATTCATGCAGGCTGTAATAGTACATTACATACATCGCAGACTCATCAAGGAAAACACCAGTTATCGACGCCATACAACAGAATAATACACCAATCATGATACAAACGCCGTGCATCTAATCCTGCCATCCGGCCATGGAGCTTGTCATCTCCCAGTCTCCGCTGGCGCATTGTCTCCAGCTGGTCGACACAGTCGCTTCCTCCGCCTCAAGCGTGCCGTCATCGGCCTGACGGAATAGTGTGATGTCATAGCAGATAGCCATCGACATCAATCCGATCTCAACAACATGCGGCTTGTGCATCTTGTAGCTCAGGTACCGGTCGCTCTCCTTCAGCACCTCCTTCAACGTCGGCTCCGAGCTCTCGGTGTACACCTCGGGATCGCCAAATAGCAGCGGGTTGCACATGATGGCGCCCTTGCCGATGTACTTCAGTGCGCTCTTGGGCTTGTGGCACAGCGCGCCCCAGAGGAGCGTCTCCATCTCGATGGCCTTGGCGTGGTTGCGCTTCGCGATGGTGTTGAGGGGTCCCTCGTCCTCCGACTCGTCGTCGGTGTCATACTCGCGGCGCGGCTTGGGCTTGGGCTTCTCCTTCTTCTCCTTCTTCTCCTTCTTTTCCTTCTTCTTCTTCTTCTCCTCGCCGTTCTCACGCGGAGGGGATTGCGAGGCCGACTCCATGCGCGGGCGGCGGGCTAGTTGCTTGCCTTCGGTTTCCTGGCCACCCGCGAGCTGGGGCTTCTTCTTCTTCTGACGCTCCTCCGCACCAGGGCCGTGAGGGGAGGGGTCTGTGGTGAGACCGAGGACGGAAGGCATACTGGCGTTGTTTCTAAATGTTCTCGGTCGCTATATTGTAGTATGGGAATCAAGTTCAAATCGCTTGTTCGTCGATGAATGCGTTCGCTATGTTGTAGATGGAGCAAGTGGTACCAAAAATGAACAGGCTCACATTCCCTGGTGCAACGAAAGAGGGGGCACCAGCTACTTCAAATGGGGGGCAGAAAGGCAATGGGCAAAGGCAACGGGCAGACGTTACGTAGTATGATGTCTCCCGTCACGCGGCCCCAGCGCCCGTTGACGTCCTTTCTCTCTACATTCGCCGGCCGAATGAAAGATTTCTTGCTTTCCCGACCGAGGTGACGTCAGTTGTCGCGACTGGAAGCTGGTGTCGAGCAGGGTTTCGTGGGGGAAAGCTGCGTTGATTGGCGCCCCGCACTGCGCGGAGCATGACATCAGTCTTGCTGGCGGGATGTCACTGTGCGGCGGCCTGCAGGAGGTCCAGAACGCTGAGTCATCACCAAAAGACAGGGATTGATCCCTGTTTCTGAACATGGAACAGGCGCGTTCTCGCATTCTGAAGATGAGATGTTCGAAGTGATGAGGGCCCGGGAGAAGCTCGTAGATAGAAAGACGTCGTGTTTTCCCCACAGGTTGCCGCACTGCCGCTAACAGTTGAGCCACAGCTGGGGCTTGAAGCCATCGTTTCGTCGTGATTCCCGCTAAGCTGTTCTGGTCGCTAGAGTTGTCGGCTTGCTGATGGCTGACCACGATGCATGAGAAGCTACTGCTGAGTGAAAGCGTTTCCCCGCACTCGCTTCTGAAGTGCTGCACGTGTCTGAGAGCGCCGTTGGCAAGTTCTAGCCGTTTCGCTAGCCTGTGTGGAATTTCGAGGTCGTGATAAGCTTCTTCCAAAATTTTGTTTGGTTGTCCTGGTATCTCTTCCCATCGCTAGTCTTGTCTACATAGTACCCTTTTACTTGCAAAATTATTCGCAAGGAGAGAAAAGTTTTAAAAGAGAATAGGACATGAAAACAGTAGGTCGTTTCTGCCACCCGCAGTAGCTGTTGCCGATTGCGCACCTCGAAGACGTATCACTGGTAGCCATGAAAGAAGTCCAGATTAAAACGATTACAGGTGAATTGCGCTGTTCTTATGGATTGATGCTACTTCGTCACTCTAACATTTCTCGCTTCCATTGATGTACCTCATTCATTTAAGCTTTCCACGTTGTCGACGCACACAAAATGGGGAGGGCATCCACGAAGCCCTTGAAGCTTGTTTGTTCCGTGTCTATTATTCTTCATTGAAACTTTTGCGTCGCGGCACGATTCATCCAACCTTGATATATGTGCCGTCCTTGAGACGTATGCCTCTGATGCGTTGAGCCAGTAATTCCTGGATGACACGCTTATCTCTCTCATGGTCGCGAGGGCTCACGCATGGCCGCAGCGAGATTGTGATGTCCTCCACCTTATCAAGCTTCTCTAAGATTTTAACAAGCAACCCAGTCGGCATCCCCAAGCTTTCATCGTTTTCAAGATCCCATTCCAAATGTATTCGATTGACTTTTGAACAAAGAGTGGACGGCATGCGAAACCCCTTGTCGGCCACATCTTTAACAGTAGTTACTGCATGATCGAAAGCCCATGTGAGCGGGAAGAGAACGATTCCGCACCTCGTAGACAGTCCAAACTCTCGTAGGACTGTCATCAAGGACGATTCAATCGCCAGATCTGCGTTGAATCTTGCGGTAACATTAAGTTGTTCCAACATCCAATTGAAGGCTCCTCCTCCATCCTCTCGGCACTGTTGATTTCGGGCCTGAAATAGTCTGTACAGCCTTCTAATGACGCTCAAATTCGCTCGGCTATTGACGTATGTAAGCGGACAGGCTTTGGATATCTTACTGCAGATGATGCGGCAGGGGTCAGACAACTCGCTTTCTTCCAAAAAGGCAAGTTTGTTTTCCCAATAGGGGTAGTATCCTAAACGCCAGAGATTTATTGCTGGAAAGCGACCTGTGGAAGAGATCAAGAGCAGTGAAGTTGCTAATTCAAAGATGATATCTTGAATCTCGAGGGGCAGATCCGTAAATTGTTTCTTGCGATGTTGTTGATTCTGCTTCGCCTTCAGATCCTTTCCTTTTTTGGTAACGTATAGAAGATGCTTTGCCAAGGATGGTGCGGATAGGCGTTCATTCTCTTTTTCGAAACACATACTGCCATTGATGAAATGGAAGTCATGCCCATCGATGCCATCAGTGTAACTCACGGGATGATTGTCGGCTTGCTTCCGCCACCATATTCCTTGCTTATCAAAGAATACGGAAGGGTAAGGAACCTCCATCTTCTTGACGAAGTTTCTTGGTTGCTGGAGAATGATTCAAGGGGGTTTCTCGCTTGGAGCTCCCAAAGATATTCGTTATTCGCACTTTTGCCTTCTGTCGCTAATGGAGTAGTGTAGTGATTGATATGGAGTCGCGCCCGATCGCGATTCGTGTTGCCGTTGCTGGTGGCGGCCTGCTGAGCAGGAATTTGTCAAAAGCCATGCATGCGTATGAGTTGTGAAAAAAGAAATGAATTGAGAAGCTAGTAGTCTTTATAGCTAGGAAATACGTTACCCTTTGGACCTCTCTCATCAGGGTTACACGGTTGGAATGGACCTTCATCTTGTAAGCTATACATTACCTTGATCGTGTCCCTAGAACTTTGAGGCAGAATTGGTTTAAGTCTCGAGGTTCGATGTTATTGTCTACAACGATTCTGGTCGTGATATTTGTAACTTGTCGTAGTCTTTGGTGTTTGCACTGGCGAAGCAGATCGAAGTAAACCACCGTAGTCGAAGACTGATTTGAATATTGCGAAGCGTCGCTCTACAGTTTCTCATCACTACCTAGGTACCGTTCCCCCATTATTGTCTTGATACATTGTTACAAATTCCATCGAAAAGACCGTCGAGGTACCTTCAGCCGACGTTACACGGTATTGCAACACCGGCACAGCATGTACACCAGAGCCGAAAGCTCGAGGCATCTCTCCACTACAGGCAGTTTCTATGACAGGATGTTCAAGATCCACCAAGCATGGGTATCAATGTCTCCTCGAATAGCTCTTAGAATATCTTGAATGTCACGCAGGAAAACGGATACAAAGTTAATGCCGTTGCTAAGTCCGATGCTGCTCCCTCGCCATGAACGACGGGCATCCCCATCCTACTTCGCGAACTCCGCAACTCCACCAGGATTGCCCATGATGGCTCCGATTCAAGCGTTTGAAACTCCGCGAACCCGTCACTAGACTTGCAGACTATTATTTTGGTGACGGCTCCAGACACGTAGGATATCCTGCAAATTATATTGGCATTTGATGTGGATGGCAATCAAGGTAAGAGTCTGCGAAACGAAATGACAGCTCGTAGCAGAATGGTTCCTTTTCTCCTGAGATCTCAGGATTATCCAATCCTGGACTCAAGGTATACTCTAAGATCTCAAGTCCGACGACGTCGGCGATCCTCCCATTGCGACCTTGGAGTAGGTCAAGGATTTCCTGGCAACATCTGAGATCCACGCACCATTCTGCGGATGGATCCCGAGTCCACGTCCCCCACCCGCCGGAGCCGCAGACGGATCTTGGCATCCACAATTTGCCCTTTTAAGGCATTCTGATATCAGAGGTACTCAAATCACATGGAGTTTTTAACATGAGTAAATAACGGTAGTGCGCAGACTAGGAAGTCGTGAGAAGCACAGGGCACAGACAGCCCCAGGTTTGAAGGTGCCCCAGCGACTGCCCTCCATGAAACCCTGCATGTGCTCTCGGACTTTACTCTACGCCCGCGAATCTAAGGTTTATCATACTGCCCGAGGTCAATCGATGAGTGGCATCATACGGTTAAGGTTGGTATAAAGGTGACGGAATCGAACGCGGACTGGCCGGTGTTCTGCCATCTCATCAGACCTCTCACTTCTCTACTCGATTTGAGCGGCTCTTCTCAGTCTAGCGCCGCTTCCAAGTCTACCCCAATAACCGCACATCGCACCAGTTCCCAACATGTCGGGCCTTCAAACTCTCTTCGCACCGGCTCCCGAGCCCAAAACAGAGCTCGGCCGCTATCGCGTGCTCTCCTCCACCGCCGGTGTCAGGGTCTCCCCACTCTGCCTGGGCGCCATGTCCATCGGCTCTGCGTGGTCCTCGTTCATGGGTTCCATGGAGAAGGAGGACTCGTACAAGCTGCTGGATGCGTTCGTCGACGCCGGAGGTAACTTCATCGACACCGCCAACAACTACCAGAACGAGGAGTCCGAGAAGATCCTCGGCGAATGGATGGCCGCTCGCAAGAACCGCGACATCATGTTCGTCGCGACCAAATTTACTACCCAGTATCGCAAGCAAGAGCTCGGACCCGGCAAGTGTGTCAACTACTCGGGCAATCACAAGAAATCGCTGCACCTCTCGGTCCGCGACTCTCTCAAGAAGCTGCAGACCGACTACATTGACCTGCTCTACATTCATTGGTGGGACTGGACCACTTCTATTGAGGAACTGATGGATTCCCTCAACATCCTTGTTGAGCAGGGTAAGGTCCTGTACCTTGGTGTTTCTGATACACCCGCTTGGGTTGTTTCCGCCGCGAACACCTACGCCAGAGCTCATGGCAAGACCCCGTTCTCCGTATACCAGGGTCGCTGGAACGTCTTGATCCGCGATCTTGAACGGGAAATCATCCCCATGTGCCGCCAGTTTGGTATGGCGATCGCACCATGGGACGTCCTTGGAGGAGGTAAGCTGCAGACCAAGAAGCAGCTCGAGGAGCGCCAAAAGGCCGGCGAGGGTCTTCGTGCTATGTTTGGCCAGGGTCAATCCGAAGAACACCGCAAGGCCAGCGAAATTCTTGAGGAGGTCGCAAAGGAGCAGGGTACAGACAGTATCCAGCAGGTTGCCCTTGCATACGTAATGCAGAAGGCCCGCTACGTTTTCCCCATCGTTGGCGGCCGCAAGGTAGAGCACCTACACGACAACATCAAGGCTCTCAGCATTCACCTGACGGAGGACCAAATCAAGAAGATTGAGGGTTACAAGGAATTCGAAGTCGGGTTCCCTATGAACTTCATCTTGGATGATCCCCGAGAGGGGGGTCCGACACCTACTTTGGTGGCCGCGTCTGCGCCGATGGCGTGGCAGCGCAGCGGCAAGCCGATTGGTCATGAGTGAGTGCGGCACTTAAAAGAGGGTTTGCGGGACGAGGAACTCATGTCGCGATTGGTGCACCAAATTCAAATCAATTTTTGTTTTATTATCATTAAACATCTGGTCTTTTACATTCGTGAAGGTTTCGTGTCATCAATCGTGATGGATCTCAGCGTCAAGCCGATGATCTGCGCTGTCATGTCTCTAATAGTACATAATCCTACACAGCAGAACTCCTCATATCATATTCGGAAGCTTTGGAACTGGGTATTCCTTGGGCTTTCCGATCAAGGTTTTCTGCGAATCTGCAGATCTCGAAGACCCGCCAGAGGTTGATGAAGACGCCCCCGCCGTTGACATGGAAGCTCCCGAAGACGCGAGATGCAACTTGTCTTCTGGAACCTCCGCAGATCTGCGTGAAACTCTTTCTGAGCGTCTGGTCGACTTTCTGACCTTCATCTTGATGGCTTCAGGGAGATACCGAGTCTTCACCGCAGTGTCTCGGAGTAGAACCCGTAGCACGGGCAGAGTTGCCACCATGATAGTGATGGCGGTCTCCGCGGCAGCCCACACAGCCAACTGTGCACCACCGTCTGAAAAGCTGTCAGCGCAGTTCGCTGTTTGGTCTGAACATTTATGAAACTTACGAGAGAAGTCACCCGTTGTGTCGTTCACGGAGCGCATGTAAGACGCTTTCACAAACGCCGCGATTCCGGCGCTGGGTCGGATTAGCATCAGACACCATAGTTGCAAAGAAAGTTTACTCACAGTACTCCCATACTAAGAGCAACAGATACACCGATTTTCTCCTTTTTGCTGAGAGTGAGTCCGGACGATTCTTCGGCTGGTGTCGGGCGCATGAGAATCATCCAAGGAATGGCAGCCAGGGCTAGATCGAGAAGGCCTGAGTATACTGGGAGGGAGAGTCAGTACGATGGATCTTCTATGAATCGAACTGTAACGGATGCAACTTACCACTGACGAAGATGCCAAATGATACCACCCACTTCAGGTCGTAGCATGTTCCGTCGCCAAAGGGCTTCCACCTCTTCTCAAGAGGCACGCAGCCGATCCAGAATGATAGGGAGGCAAAGGCGAAGAGGATGTTCATCGATATAATAGAGAACCAAACAAATGCCTTCTTCCATCCCTCACACATACGCAAGAGTGAGATGGCGAAGGCTGTTTTGCTCCAGACCTGGCCGACAAAGGAGCATGTAATCGAAGACAAGCCGACGATAGCAAGCGTTGTGATATTTTCAATCGTGATGGGAAACCCTGGTCGTCCAAAGCGAGACTTGATGATGAACTCATTCAGTGTAGCGTCTCCAGCTAGAACAACCTGATACCATGTTAGTGACTTTGATAACCTGGCGTGGCTTGTGGTGCTTACCCAGGAAGCTATGAGAAGACCATCCTCGAACCTGAACTTCGTATAGGAATATGATATCTTGCAGTAGATCCTCAAGCCAAGGAAGACAGCCGAGAGAACAACGAGGATCCATAATACCGTCTGGATCCCTTCAGCAGTAGCATCATCGTCGCCTCGAATGTTGAGGGAAAGCGTCGTCGTATCGAGGTCCGCTGTAGATAATTGCGTCGTGTTGATGGACTGTGCCAAGGAGCTCAGTGCTTGCGCCCGGCTTCTTGGACAGTCAAGACATCCGTGAGGAGGCACGACGGCCATCGTTGGTATCCGTGCTGGTTACCGAATGTTGAAGTGACAGCAGCAACCTCATGGCAGATACACCTAGCACGTCTCTGCTGACGATCGAGGTGGGTCGCAAGCCGTTGTTATAAGATCGCCTGAATATGCGTAACGTCTATCAACGACGAGAATCCGATATCATCCTCCTTCTTCCACTTCGATGGGACCGGCGAGCACGCCGTTTCATTATGTACCACGTGGAGACCGTGGACCACGCGAAGACTTGACAAGCATCTTGCCGGGATGTCCATGACCAGATGGCTCTGCTTCCCAACATGATTTCGCATCACGGCACTGAGGCGGACGTGGCAGCGTCCGATCGAGCACAGATCAAGTCTTTCGATATCCGCCGGTGGGCAGAAATGGAGGCCTGAAAGGCAAAGCGCAGGCTAGTGTTTGCGACTTTCTGGAATCCGTGCACGAGAGCGGGATATCCACAAGCCTGAATCTCATAGGACGGAGACCCCCCTTCGGCCATCTGGAGCGATGCCATGATTGCCAAGGGGCAGCCGACTCTTTGACCTCCTTCGTCTTGACTTGCCAGCATCGCCAGGCACAGATTTGTGGAGCCTTTCTTGGTCTTCTCGCTTTCTCTATACACACGATCCCCGTACGGCTGATCTAGGAACCCATCGAACACTTCCTTTTGAGTTATCACCACTGTCACAGCCGTGTCGCGTCTGGGGAGAGATCCCAGTGTGCACGGTCTGGTGGTGGTTACTACGGCCTTGTCTTTGGAAAGCTTACTTCTTCAACAGACGGGTGGCGTAGGTTAGTCAGGGTATTCCCGGATTCCCGTCCAGCCCTCCATGGGCGGCAACTCCTGAGCTTGTGCTCCGCCTCACGGGCAAATGTCCTGGCGGTATCGGATTCTGGGTCGTCTGTTATCCTTAATCCGGAATGCCGCACTTCCGCTGCACATTTTCTGCACGATTTTCTCCCATCTTTAGGGCCAACGATTTCTCGATTTCGCGGCAATGGTGGAAAGGTAAGGAAACGACAGCACTAGTGCAGGAACAGCCCTATGACTTGCGCATCGTGCTTGGAGCTAGGCGAAGCTACTGTTCCCGTGCGGGGGAACCAGCTTCTCTTCAAGGGTAATACCCAGTATGCGCCTTATTCAGTCGTTGTATGATCACCGTAAGAGGCAGGTGAACGTGTATAAGACAGTTCACTATGACGAACCATCAGCTTAGCTACTGTAGGATACCTCGCCCTGTCACCACGATTCAGCTTCTTCCCCACCCGCGCGTTTCCGAGTTGCGGCGGGCTTTCCCACACGGTTTGCGGCTCTGCCCCAGGTTACCTTACCTGCACAACATTGCCGCAGGGCGAGTCGCTCTTTTGCTGGATGGGATGAAGGACCGCCGACACAAGCGGCAAAGTACGCTTTCCTTCATGAAACCCTGCGGTTTTCTGTCCGCTCTTGAGTCCGTCCACTAGGCCGCTGCGCGCCCCCTCCACCTGCGACAAATCGGGAGTTGTTTGTGCCGGTGATGGGATCATCTAAAGAATAGAGTCCTCTGTAAGCGCCTTCAACTGTCGACGATGTGAGTCCAGAACACAGCTTCGCATAGGCTGGTTCGTCATTGAGAAACCCAGATCTTCGAGCCGAGTGTGTCATCGAAACATCAGAAGTTTCCACGGGAAAAACGGCCACCGCGGTGCCATCGAGGAAAGAGTACGGGCTTAATTGAAGCTGCACAGACATATTTTATGGGAGATATTATATGGCCAAGTCGTCTCCCGCGTTATAGATGCACGGCATTTTTAGCTCCTCGCTATCCATGCACCTCAACTTTGCGTCTGATGACTCAGTTATTATACACCTCTGCATATCTGAAAGGTTCGTTGTTCATACTATGTACACCGAGCTTGAGCTGCAGCTTGCAGGCTTGGCTTGGTCCTTGCAGCGTCAATCTGTCGGTTTCTCATGTCAGCTCTGAGAGAGCTGAAACCCCGGCAGGGTATCCATAGCTCGGCTCGCTGCGCTCATAGGAGGAAGCTTTCCCTTTCTCTTCGCCAGCTACCCGTGGGATAAGCATATTTAACCTCCACGGCAGGAGCCTTGCAGCTATTAGCGCCGATGATCGTGCATATTTGACGCGTCTTGGCTATATTAGCTCATCCCTGAGAGCCTGAAGTGCCGCAGGGAAGCAAGCAGTAACAATTTGCCCACCTGTCGGCTGCAGCTATGCCATCGGGATATGAACCGCGGGCTTTGAACTCAAAGACTGCTACTACCCCAACTAGACCACCTGCTGGCAACAGCGCCGTCTTGACATCTCCCGCCGGCCGCTTTTCGAGACTCGTGTTGCTGAGAAATCACAACCCCCGATTCCTCGTAGCGAGGGCTTTCCGTCGATATAGTTGCTAGGTTGATAGTCATGTTTCTGATAATGTCGATCAAGTCAAAGACTCTTCGAAGTGAGTAAAACGTAATGAAGGAGGAATTCTTCGCCGAGGTGGTGTGTCCAGAGCTCGGAGAGCGAGAAAAGGTCCGAGCAATGAGGGGAACTCATGAACATCACGATGAAAGCGTCAATGAGACAATATCATAGATCAGTTCAAAGCGACTTTGGACGATATTCGACCCTTTTCTCCGCCGGCGCTAGCTCAAAATCGTGAATGCGGTGCAGTTGTGAACTAGTTGATCGCAAACACCGGCCGCGTCGACGAGGAGCTAAGACGAACAATACCGTTGCTGGTTGGGCATCACCCGAGGCATCTGACCAGACGCAATCGAACCAGACGAACTCAACTGAACATGTGGCATCTGAGGGCCAATCTGTGGAGGACGGCCAACCATAGCTACTTCGACGCGCTGCGTGCAAGACGCGCCTCTACGAGATTAGAAACTGATACATGCAGGTCATAGCCTTAAGTGGTGCCGTTATCCATCCACATCGGATTTTTTTGGTCTCGCTGTGAGGGGGAAGCTTGTACGTCGCCAAGAAGCGAATGATCTGCTGCGGCCGCCCAAGAGATTCGCCTGCTTAGCACAATCTGACGAGACCTGTAGAAAATCTAGTATGTGTTTCTCGTCTAATTGGCAGCGTACTCGCGGTGCCAAAACACGCGGCGTACTGAAATATTCTAGAATGGCCCGGGCCGTAGCAGCGTCCCTGAAGTGTCATACAAGTCAGAAGTAAGCTCAGCCCCGTTTTTGATTAGGTTTAGAAACTTTCGACTGCGTCTTGACCTCCTAGATCGCTCTGCGCTCTGACATCGTGCAAGTTGGCCGAAATATCTGATACCTTTTGGCAAACATTGATGAGGCCATCGTGTAGCACATGGTTGGACTGTCACCATTTGACAGATTGGTCGGCCGAAAGTGAGCGCTTGACAGCCGTCTTATCCGCACTAGCTGCTGTGCGTGTCATGGCGCTGACAGAAATGTCGGTGGCTTGTCAACTCGCAGTCAAGTTTGGAGCTAGTCACCTTACATGCCGCTAAACTTGGCCTAACCAGTATGGACACTGCCCCGGATCTCCCCAGATCTGCAGTGATTGTATCCTACACAGCACTGGGCGATTTAGTGGCAACACGAACTGCATTGGATCAAGCGATCAAGTTGACTGGTTCTTAATGTCTGATGTGTTGGTGCACCGCAGACTCTCTAAAAGAACGAAAATGGGGCGGCCAGGTCTCACAGCAAGTGGCCTATCACCTCGTCGCTAATTAGTCTCGTGATTTCGAAGTTGCGGCGCAGCAGCTGAACAAAATTCCAACATGATTCGGCTAGGCTGCCGTGCTGATGGTAGCTCCATTTCAAGCTTGAGTATTTAACAGCGTGGCACAATGCCAGACGATCAATCTAGAAGAAATTAGATCGCCAAACAAAGTCCGATTTGAACAGCAAGTAGGGATTTAACATCTATGTTATAGTGTAACGCAGTGCTGATATTGGCCAGGACCACAAGATAGCATTCATCAACATGGTTTTCTGGAAGTCATCAGCCAAGGAGGGTGGCGACGAGGACACCCCCAAAAAGTCGCTCTACCAACGCTATGAAGACAAGAATAACGGCCGCGACAAGGTCATTTCAGACGAGGACCTCCTGAAGTACACCGGCAAGACGAGAGAAGAGATAAACGCGTGGGCTAAAGATCGACCGGGCGTTGCAGGAAATCAGGCCGCGGGCACACTTGCTGCCGGCCCTGCAACGGGGTTTGGTGGCATGGCGACAGCCGATGGCTTCGGCGGATGGGGGACTGATGCGGGGTCGGAACCGAAGTATCCGCCGCAGCAGAAGACGACTCGGGCGGAAGGTGGTAGTGGTGTCGAGTCGTCAAAGTAAGAAGTGTCACGATGGTTGCGAAAACGACGACGACAACAACAACGACAGGGTTATTATTAGAAATGGGCATGGCAGATAACGTTCAGACGTGTGGGCCCGTTCATCGCGTGGTATCCTGGGATGCGGGCGGTGGAGCTTGGAAACACTCGTTCGTCCGGAATAGTTTTATCTACTGTCTCATAAGATGATATGATAATGTCTGCGCCCTATGCATAGCAATTATTCAGAAACTTCTTTAGTGTGCCCTCAATCGTTTCTGGTCACCGTCGGTGCACGACAGCTGCAATCCAAAGTGATGATGCGTATATCAGATGGGCTGTTGTCACTTTGGTCTGCCAAGAACGTGCCGAAAGTAGTCACAAAGTATCTTTAACAAACGGAAACATTGCAGTCAAGTAAGCATTGCCAAGGGAATGAGAGTAGATCATCATGGATTCGTGAGATCATTGGATAATCGCGCTTCAGTGATGGGTGTTGCCGCCTAAGTGACTCCATGGCGGCGAACAAGGTTGGAGATGCTTTTAATGCGCAGTAAATGTTCTCATTCTTTCAGCCCTACAATTATTGGTGACTCGGATGTGTTCTGTGATGTTCGTGATAGCCGCGCTCTGATTAGTTGGAGCTTGTTATAACCGAGGACGAACCCCGGATCCGAAGAGTATAGTAGCCTGCCAGATGACTTCGTTTTGGCACCCCCATGTCGTTTCTAGCATTATGCCATCACAGGTGTAGAACAGAGTTCGCCATACCATATTATTCACATCCATGAGTTGACCTGAGTCAGTTCTTGAAGCTTCGAGTACAAGCAAGCTGAAAGGGAGACTGATATTTCAGGCTACTCACTGCCCCTAGTCATAACCAGCTTGGAGGCGAAGGTTGATGAGATTCTGCAGAGACAGATAGTCATGCGTGTACTCATCAACTATTACCTATCCATGTGTCGTCCTTTTGCTTTGGCACAGGCCTAGATCACCAAAGTCAATCTAAGTCACGTTTTGCTAGCAATACACCATTTCATAGTCATGTACTCTTTCTCATTAAGCTTATTCTGATAGCTGACCAGAACATATGTGCCGTAAGATAACACTATCTAGATGACGTTACGATCATTCAGTCGAATCGTACAACTCTGCGCGCGTGAAGACGGACGTCAGTCAAACATCTTCTCGAGCAAAGCTATTTTCATTTGGTCCTCTATGGGACGGTTCTTCTACCGTTTTCCCATGTCTGGCATCATTTCAAGCCTTGGGCTTGTTCTTGAGCTCGACTCTCAAGTGCATGCCGTCAACAGGCTTCGAAGTAACCAGATCGGTCTATCACATTGCGAGTCAGTAGGAGCACGTTGTGAAGCGGCGTTCATAATCAGTGCGGTACTTACAGAGAACAGGGTTCCCTTGGTCTTGTAGTATCCTCTGTCATCGAGTTGAGGCTTTCCATCTTCTGTGAGATCCAGCTCGCCCAAGCCAACCTTGACAAACTCGAAATGTCTCGCGATAATCGCCAGCACAACCTTGGACTCCAGGTTTGCAAGCTCGGATCCGGTGCAACGTCTGGGGCCTCTCTCATACGGTCTGAAGGAGCTGTCAGGAATGTTGGCGGCGTCGGGGCCGAGCCAGCGCTCGGGCCTGAACTCGTCCTTGGTCTCTCCGAAGATCTTGGGGTCTCTCTGAATGATGTAGGCTCGCGGGCTCAAGCAGAGACCGTCGACAACAAGGGGCTGGCCATTGGGCAGGGTGATGGTGTAGTTGGCACCCTTGGGCGCGACACGAGCGGTGGTTCCGGGCGGGTGGAGACGCAAGGCCTCCTTGATAATGGCGTCGGTGTCTAAGTGGATTAAATGTCAGCATCTTCAATGTTGCATCAATGATGAGTGGCACTTACAAGGGAGTCGGGCCAAGAGCTTTCCGGCCTGGGGACCAGAGAGCTGCTCGATGACGGACTTGGGGCTGGGGTCGGGACCGAAAACCTCGTCGAGCTCTTCCTTCAGATCCTTGGCAGACTGCGGGCGTCTGTGAAGCTCATAGAAGCACCACTGCAGCAGAATACTGGTCGTGTCGTGGCCGGCAAACAGGAATCCTCGGCAAGTGTCGCTGGTCTGCTGGAGAACCTCGGGGGTCAATACGTCGATGTCGTGAAGACTCAGCGCTGCTACACTGCGGGATGCAGTCGCGAGGCCGGCCTTGAAGTCCTTGTGCTGTCTGATAATCTCTTCCTTGAGGATAGCGTCGAGTTCCTTGTCGAGACGTCTGATCTTGCGCTCGTTCTCCGAGAAGTATCTCCGAAGCCAGTGCTTGCCCAGCTCGCGCTTGATGTAAGCGTGAGATAACGCGCGGTATGTCGTCAAGACCTTGCTTTGCTTGCCCTCAACCTGAGCGTTGAGGTCCATGTCGAAAGTCACGATTCCAATGACGTCGAAAGCCAGGTTCGTGGTGTACTCGTCAATGTTGAAGGCCTCTCCGGAAGCAGCCTTCTCCTCCATCAGGTTAATGAAAAGCTCCGTCTTGTCCAGAATCACCTTGACCAGGGAAAGCAGGTGCTGAGGTTGCATGCCAGGCAAAATTCTCTTGCGAAGACCCTTCCATTCCTCGCCGTCAGTGGTGACAAGAGATCGCGCTCCGACCAAGGGAGCAAGATCTTGCATAGCCGGGTGCTTGGGGACACTAGTGCTGTACTGCTTCGTGGGCTTGGTGACCTGCTCTGCGACATCGTTGTTGAGAATGAAGAGAATCATGAAAGACTCCATCGGGCGCCAGTCAACCAGGAGAACGGGAGGGAAGCCAAGCTTCTGAGCTTGTTCGTAGAGGAGTTCATCTACAAAATCATTCATGTTAGCGACTCTCGAAGATACTTCAATGTTCGCCATTCGCTCGCAATCGGCGATGGCTGCGCGGAACGTACCGAAAGACCTTCGAGGGTCGCCCAGCGCAGCGGCCTTCTCGATCCATGGCCAATGTCCTCTGTTCGGGTCGGCCTCCTCAGGTTGCGGGAAATGTGAAAATAGCTTGATGTCGAGGGGATCAGCCTTCGACCTCCTCAGGTAGAAGACCACGGCGAGCGGGATCGCCGCCAAGATGAGAAGCTTCCATTGCAGGAGGGGAGCTAGAGAAGCCGCGTCGAGCTTATTGAAGACGCTGAGCAAAGCCATCTTTCAATCTGGGGGAGCTGCACCGACAGCTCGACTTGCCCGCGAATGAATGAGAAACGGTGGCTCAGGATGGAATGCCCAAACTATCCAAAATTTCTGGCTGCGCCATTTTTGGAGGGGTACAGCAGGTATATATTGGCCGAGAAAAAAATAAACCACCCATGTAACTGTGTGCTTATGACGAGCGTCGCAACGGGCTCCGACGATGGACGATCGTCGGTAATGCCACCCTAGTCGCTGTGCCTTGACGAGGGTTCTTCAACAGCAACCCATGTGAAATGGTGCTGTACGTACTGGACAACAGGTACAAGCAGTTCTCCGGCTGCGAGTCCACCAGTTCTCCAAAATTTGCCCAGACAAAATTTCCTGATTGGAAAGAAGCGTCAGCATCCCCTCCTCATTGAGCAGCTCGCCCGCACGCCGAGTACATCTGGCAGTTGACGGGAAACGCCGCCCATTGCCGTGGCTGGGGGAAATGAACAGCCCACTACCCGTTGAGGGGTTCATCCATCCCGCTTTCCAGTTAAATTGCGGTTAAACCGACGTAATGCCAAGCCTCGATGTGGATGGGCCTGTGGGTGGAAAATTCTTCAATGGCGAGACTCTGCGATGCAGCTCCTCGAATCAGATGCATCTCATCTAATCTGATGGCATCTTATCTGATCCGATGTACCCTCCGATGTTACCTTCCTCATACAAAAGCGGGTCATTAGCGGGAATCCGAACCCTCAATGCGCCGACCACGGCATCCCGGAGACATCCGCATGTAGCTGTCCTCAAAAGAGCCGATGGCGCCGTCTCTGTCCCGGTCGCAAAATTTTGTGTGCTTCATGTGCCTCTGTGGTTCGAAAATGGCTGCCCTGATCTGATAGCATCGATGATAGCCTGCCATGCTGTCAGCAAACCGTCTGAACCTTAACCAAATGTGGGTGTCTGTACATCGAGAGCGGAGTCAAGCTTGTGAAGAACATACGAGCTGTGCTCCAGTCCAATCAAAGCTGTGGACTGGCAACTTGTGCGGAGAAATCTGGGTCAACTTCCTGACGCCATCTACGCTAGCGGCCGGCGGGATGCCTAAACACGAAAGGTGTGAACCTGATTATTCACATCTCAAGTCCAGGTGTTGAAGCAATTCAACCAGGCCGTTGTAAAGGTACTTTTGAGAGCTGTCTTCAGGCTTTTGCCATCTAAAGGTATAGAAATGTAGTTCTGCTTACCTGCGGAAAAGCAAAGCCCGGTTTTGGGACATTGATAGTGACATCAATCACACATCTTGTCCTTAACTACCCTAACATCAAATAGCTAGCTCCCACGTGTCAACGTACAGTTCGCCAGTGCAGATCAATTACCTTTTCATTCTAATAAACTAACTGGATTCTCTTCGGGAGAGACTTGTTGACTTGTTACATAGGTCTTCACTGTTTAGAAGTAGGCCTTGTTCGTTCAAGCCCCAAGATCTTGGAGACTTCGATCGTTGACTGCCCGGACTGACGATATTGAGCTTTTGCGTCACGAACATCTGCTTAGTAAAGGACGAGCCTAATACGCCTCCCGAACGTTCGGGTCGTTGGGGCCTCCGCCATCCTTGTCATACAGTTGCCAAGCGGGGTTTCTCCAAGAACCCGTCGGCGATCCCACATCGGATAGCACTTCACATAGGGCCATGCTCTTATCAGTTGGCAAGGATTTCTGATTAAGGCATTTGATGTTCAGCTATGGACAGATAGAACTACTTGGTTTCTTCGAAAGCTCCATGCATGGGAATTGCACTTATGCAGCATGCAGTCGCAGAATTGACAGTGAACTAAACTCATAGAAGTGAGTGGTTTTTCAGTTGCACGCTTTGTTTGCCACCATTTGAACTAGGCGAGAGGGCGAGTGTACTGACCGAACCCATAACATAGATATGGATATGGATGACAGTTCCGCTTGTAGCGAATTATAACTAACTGATGTGAAGTCGTTCTATCACGGCCTTCTTTTGCATGTAGATTGAAAGATATTGCTGTTTTGGTGTAAGGTTATGGGGCCAACCTTGTTTCGTTGGTCGCGTCGGGGGCCTCTCAGCCATGTTGGTCAGCGCTGCATGTTGGTGTGGCTAGGTAGATAACTCGGTGGCATACCCTACATAGTCTAGGCAGCATTCAAAGTCGAGGTCAGGAGCTTCTTTCAATCGTGTTCTATGAAGCTTCATGGCTTGGCTGGAGAGACCTTACCACAAAAGTTCCGTACGGTTCATTTTCTGATTCCTCTCGCAAACTTCGCTACCCCTCCTTGATGTTTTATGGTCCAAAATATTCAGTTAAAATGGACGACCTTCAAGGACCGTCAATGAGAAGACAAAAGTGCATTGAAGGCTTGTTTCTCCCAAAGACAAGGGTATACAGAGTGATTTCATTTATAATTAACGTTTCCCTTTGGTCAGAGTGGTCTGAGACGATGAACCTTAAGATTTTCTCCAGCACGACTTGCTCCATGAATTGTTGCATGTCGCTGCCGATACACAACCTCCATACACTATCACGAACCTACACAATGGCTACGGAGTAATAAACACCAAAGTTCTTGACGAACTTTTTGTAGGGACAAATTCAACTCTAATGCAAGACAACTAGTACAATTGTGTTGTTTACTATACCACATAATCATTTGACAATCCCCTAAGTTGCTTCGACTATTTCAGCATTTTTAACCGTCTGTAGAACGCCTGATGTACGAAGTATGAAGGAATCTCTCGCCTTGCCTATATTTCTCACAGCCACCTTTGACAATGGAATGTATTTCGTCCAAGTGCCATTATTGCTGAAGCATTGACACACCATAGTCAAAAATGCACAGCTCGGCCAACTCTCTCTACGAATGATCGGTTATCAGCCGCTGGAAGCCCATGTTTCGGACTTCAAGATAAGCCCGACGCCAGACTTGATGTCACCACGTCCGGTATCGACTCATATCTCTAGTATGTGGGTAAATCCTTAATTGGACTGGATTCTCAAGGATTTGAGTCTCTTTGGCTAATCGATGCGCCGATTACCGCCCTCTCTGGTGCTAACACCTACACGTCTCCTGGGCCATGGTAACTAACTCTATGTGCCGTACATCTCATGCTTGGTAATAAAACTCTTCATTCATGCTGTCGGTTATATAAGCCTTCGTCGAAACGAAGTCTTGTCTGGGAATCGCTGATTTCAGTTCGTCGCCACAACCAGCTCCAGCGGCGTCCTTGGAGGCCTAAGCTAGAACATTTCCTCTGGTGGTAGAGAGAATATGTTGCGGGACCTAAATAATCTTAAGTTACGCTTTGGGTTTGCTCGTGTCGGCGAAATGTCCGGATCACAATATTCCACCGATCGCTTCACTGTCTTGGGTGACCTAGACGAGATTGAGCCGACGACGTGCCGATAGATAATTGCATACGGTGCAAGACTACCAATTAGTTACTAAGGGATTCAGTTTCCATGTGACAGCATTTGATCTTTTGGATACCTTCACATGTTCGATGTTTGGATAAGATGATAACAGCGGGTTCTAGGTTTGTTGAGATGCTACCTAACTGTTCGTGTTAGATACCCGACACCTTTATCAGATAGCCGGGGTACCGCGCGGTTTACAGACTTGTGATGGTAACTTCCATCATTGAATCCATAAGTGCATGTGATTTCGGGTGTTACTTCCATGGCGTCTGAACCAATAACCCCCTGGGTCCTGCGAAGATAACACTAACAGTATGGCATTCTCACCGGACACCGTAGTCAGCGGTCTCGTCGCTGTAACTTTCCGATTCTTATCGAGATGAGGATAGACCTCAAGAAGATTTGACGAACACGTGTGGGAAGCCGGACACCCGAACATCTATCGGGGTGGGAACGGGACGTGACGTTGACGGGAGCTTAACTCAAATCATGTTCGAGCCTCAAGATCACATGTAAGAGGCCCGAAACTGTTGAGAACCATGAGCTTGATCAATCAAACTCCAGAATGTGAGAGCAAGAAACCAGAATTGAATCCAGCTCCGCATATCCTTTCAATCACAAGCCAAATTCTCGTGGGCTGACGTCTTCCGTGTCAGCTGTGATAAGCAACGACACGCGGAAATATGCTTTGCAGATGCAGAATCTAGAGAATTGCGTAATCTTTCAGTTGAGGCCTACAATGCGCTTTCAGTCGGACAATTCCACGGCAAGTCATCCCGGATCACGTTATGCTACGACTTCAAGTACTGAGTTTCGACCCCTGAGTCATTTACGGCTGTACTCATGATAATGAAGAAGCAGTGAATGAAATATTTAACAAATGCATATCGCCACCCGAAATCAATAAGCGTTAGCCAGATGTGTAGCGTTCCTGCTTTTGGAAAATTACCTACTCAGATAATTACACAATAACGATTCCAAGTCCTGTATTGTAATGACAATGGCTGTCGCAAGTCCCATCAGACCTACGCCTCCTTCCATGGGTCTGCGCTCTCAGCGATCCACCCATCGTCTCAACCAGATTGAGAAAATCCGCGCCAACGGCATCGGCGATCTGGTTGACCTGCCTCAGCTGGTGGTTTGTGGGGATCAGTCGGCTGGCAAAAGTTCTGTTCTCGAGGGTATTACAAGCATCCCTTTCCCTCGCCAGGAGGGTCTTTGCACTCGCTTCCCCACTGAGATCACGCTTCGTCATTCCACTGGCGCTTTCCGCTGCACAGCAACCATCAGGCCTCATGCTGGCCGGCCCGCTGGGACCTCTCAGATTCTCCGCGGCTACCAGCGTGAGATGAAGGAGGATCTGTCAGATCTTCCAACCGCCATCGAGGAGGTCTCAAAGCTCATGGGAATCCGTGGGTTTGCTTCCTCCAATGACGACTCTGCTTTTGCCTCAGATGCTCTCCGGATTGAGATCACCGGGCCCATCGGACTGCAACTCAGCGTAGTTGATCTCCCTGGTCTCATTTCCGTTGCGAATGAGGAGCAGTCGGAGGCAGACGTCGAAGCGGTCCACAGCATGGTCCGACGCTACCTTCAAAGCACCCGCACAATCATCCTAGCTGTCGTTCAAGCTGGCAATGACGTCGCAAATCAGGGCATCATCAAGATCGCCCGCGAGTATGACTTGGATGGTCAGCGTACTGTCGGCATCATCACCAAACCTGACCTCATCAACGCCGGCACTGAGGCGAAACTAGCCAACATCGCCAAGAACAAGGATTCAATCAAGCTTAAGCTTGGCTTTTTCCTCCTGAAGAACCCTAGCCCTGTCGAGATGAAGGCTGGAGGAGATGCTGCTACCCGCTCTAAACGAGAGATGGAATTTTTCTCTTCCGGTGCCTGGAAGACTCAGAACCTCGACATGAGCCGGGTCGGTGTTGACAACCTCAAGTCTTACCTCCAGGACCTCTTGGATGCTCATCTTGAAAGAGAGCTTCCCAAGGTCAGGGACGAAATCAGACGGGTCCTCAGTTCAACAGAGGATGATCTCAGGTCTATGGGTCCCGAGAGACGGTCGCTCAACGACATCCGTTCCTTCATGACCAACCTCAGCATGCGCTACTACCAGCTCGCCGAGGCTGCATTGGCTGGCAACTACCACAGTACCGACCAGCAATTCTTCTCCAAAGACAGCGGTACCCGTCTTCGCGCGATCGTCCATCAAGAGAACGGTAACTTCTCGGCGGAGATTCGCGACCATGGCCACAAGAGGCAGATAGTCGGTGAAAGTCGGCCAACGAAGTCTGGGACTTCTACACCTGACGGACTCCAAATCTTGGTCACCAAGGAGGACATGATCGATTGGATTCATTCGGTAACTCAATGCGCTTGGTCCATGAAGATGGTTGCGCTTTTGCTAACTTCAACAGACCTACCTCCAAACCAGAGGTCGCGAGCTGCCCGGGAATTATAATCATGTCCTTCTCGCCGAATTGTTCCATGAGCAATCCAGCCCATGGCGTGACATTGCCGAGCGGCATGTTTCAACCGTCTTTGACCGGGTTTCCAAGTGGGTTCACCAAGCCATCACTCGTCTCTTCCATGAGGAACACCTTCGCAGGGACATCGACGCCATTTGCCAACACAAGCTTGAAGACTCTCGTGAGAAAGCCTTCGAAGAGCTCAGCAAGATTATGGCTGATGAGGAGCGCCATCCTATTACGTACAATCATTACTACACGGACAACATACAGCAGGCGCGCAGCGACTCGCAAAAGGCCGGTCTCCAGAGCGCTTTGACGTCGACCTTGGAAAATGGTTGGTCTAGCAAGATTGACACTATTACCGATACTTCCCAGATGAAGAAGTTATTGAATTGTCTGCAACCAAAGATTTGCGTGGACATGGATGCACAGGCTTGTGAGGAGGCGCTTGCGGGCTTGAATGCGTACTACAAGGTGTGTAGCCCCCAAGCTCACTTCTCAGACGCTCCTTCTAATAGGCATGTGAAGGTCGCCATGAAGACTTTTGTCGACAACATATGCAGACAGGTTGTTGAGCGGCACATCTTGTCACCCTTGCCTGAAATTTTCTGGCCAGCCACGATCTCCCAGCTGTCTGATGACGATCTCGTGAGAATCGGCACGGAGCCTGAGAAGGAGATTGCTCGGCGACAGAAGCTCAGTGCCTCTGCCCAAGGACTGCGAAGCAGCTTGGTAGACTTGCAGAGCATCTCAGGTTAGCTTGTGCCTGATATTTGTGTGCTTTGTAAGAAGATGGCCTGGATAGATCGAGTGCTTGCTGATTCCTGCAGGTGGTCCTTTTGCTAGACGTGCTAACAAACTACTGCTGGTATTACTGGGAACAGACGCTGCGCTGACTCTTGTTTTGTTTTATGTTTGGCTGGTAACGGGCGGGCTTAGAAAATTGGAGGTGGCGTTACAAATTTGGAAGGCTCTCGTTCAGATTCGCTCACTCGCTCGGGAAGATAGAGCTATTGTCGGACGCATAGAATGTAGATGGTCCACGTAGATTTAATCACATTCGTTTGCCAGATCTCGTTGTTTCCTCGACCGTGACCGATGCATCAGATATGCACGCTGAGCAGTATTTCAACCGGAAGAAATCTGATGATGATATCTTATGGCAGCCCATCAATTGCAAATGCCTTTGGCACTGTGGCAGCTTGAAATCCCATGACCTCAAAGAAAGCCGAAGGCTCGTACCAATTGCCTCTAGTCTTCATACACGTTGAACCCCAACATCTCCTGTCATTGAGTACAATGGGTCCTACTCATCATAAGAGCGACCTGTGATGACTCGTGTGGGGAGACCTTTACTAACAAGGATGCTGTTGAGGTCGTGGACGTGATTTATGGTCCCTTGACATGCCCATGTAAAGACTCCATAGCTGGTCACCGCTTTTGCAGATTTCGCAACTCGGTAAGCAACTCCTTCATTCTGTGCGGAGTCATGAGCCCTTTCTCTCGAAGTAGAACCATTCCGTGATGCGTACGGAACTTGTGGAATGAACTGGACCCCCACGGTTGAGTTGCATACGACATGAGGTTACGGACAGTTGGAAGACAACTGCTGGACTGCACATTAACCCCCATCAGGACCAGGAACATCAATCTGGAGAGCATCGTCCAAGGAGAATGCAAGACTTTTTATCCGCATAAGTTCCCAGAACACTGGGTGACAAGCTCAACAACTCGAATGTCAGTGGTCAGACATTCTGCGCCCAGCCGATCTCACCCAGCATCACTATGTCGCTGGTCCTCCGACGTTTCTTGGCGCTCGCTTGCCCACATGAGCTCCCTGCATGCCGTTACACTGTACGTAAGTAACAAACATCTGACCAGGGTCGTTGGCATCTCCCGACCGGCACCGGACAGTGGCGAACATCAACGACGCCCTGCGGCCAGCAAAAGGGCGCATCCCACACCGTAATAACGTGAGCAGACAGGCCGCTTTGCCACGGCTACCGCTGGCTGCTAGCGGAGAGGCAGAGGAAGCGAGCGGAGGTGGGTAAAAAGTCAGGAGCTCCGAAGGACCACGGCCAAGACTTTACCACTGAATTTTCTTCCTCCTCCCCCACCCCCATGTCCATTTTTCGGAGCCCTCCCCCGACCCTCGTCCTTTCAGTTCCCGCCGAGCCTCTCGGCAATTCTCGGCGCGGCACGGCATCCGCCATGGCGGGCCAATGGGCGAGCGTCCTCCTCGCGCCAACGTCGTCCCAGAGTCATGTCTTACGCTGCCAAATGTGCACATCTTCTTGGTCTTCTTGGTGACGAGCCTTGGTGATTCTTGGATAACAATCCTTCTCAGTCAAAACTAGGTCAGCAACCCGAGGGATGCTTCTCGTTCGCATGTTGCCCAGTAGTCATTGTCACCTGTCAGCATCGGGAGACGCTGAGGAGACGGATGTATGCTTGGCATGGTCTGCTGGGTTTAGGTGGAAACGAACCCTCTTCTTTACCCCAGATCGGGGAACCGATTGAAGCCTGTTGCAGGAGATGTTTTCTAGAACATCGATCATTTGAGCGCTGCCCTCAAAGAACCGGTGGACTGCAATAGCCTGTCAAAGCTGCAACGTTGCGATGCGGTAGATGGATGAGGCTCTTCGCCCCCGGCGCGCTTAACCCACACAGGCCTCGTGCATCTCGCTGAAGACGGCGGACAAGGTCCGTCAACGGTTACCGGGGCGGAAGGTCGCGATGAAAGCCCCTGTCGTCACCGCCAAGTAGACAATCAGGCCAAGGCCAATACCCAGACAAACACCCCAACGCGACAGACTCGACCAGTCAGTTTCGACGGCATTATCTCTTGGTCATCCATTGGATTTCGCCCCAGTGGCCCACTCTCTTTCAAAGTGTTAGTTTACGAGGAATGCATCCGTCGTTTCCTGATTATGCTGTCTTGAGTGACATCTACAGCCTTCTGTCGCCAACCGGTCACGCCGGTGAACCTTATCGTGTCACAAACCAGGCTCGGTCAGATTTCGCCCTGTGTCTCTACGCTGTCTTGTTCATCCCACGTATCCACGCATTCGCCGAGACCTGTCCCCGACTCCCCAATCCGGACTCATGGATCACCCAAGAGTCCAAGACCACCCCAAGTCGCCCGGCCCTGCATCGAACGCGACTGGTGGGTAACGCGGGGATTGAATGGATCCTCTTACACCTTCCTTTCGCGTGAAAGATGCCAATTGCTGTGCCTTCTCTCAGCTACGATTCACTGCCTTGGCGGCAGAGATATGCCACCCTCCACCCTATCTCGGTGGAATTCTGCCCTGTCAACTCTCTCGTTCGCCAGAAAGCCTAGCCCACTCATCGGTCGCACACGCGAGCATCGGGTCTTCTTGCTGAGGGGCCACACTTGCTCGAAGATGTATCCAAATCTGGTCTTTTTGACCGCTCGCATCCGGCCCGGTCCCAGCTCGCCACGCTGATAGACAAGACTTCCCATCTGCACGTCTTCTTGCTCTCCCTCGGGGCTGGTCTGCCCCACGTACCGAGTGTCTCTCGAGTATTTATCCTCACTTCGGCCGCCGATCAGGGTCTTGGGAATACATTCCCTTTCCCCTCGTCCTTTCCCTCAGTGCGGTGTCGAACTTATACCGGCTCGTCTCTGAAGTCCTGACTCCTGAGGAACCCGCCAACAACCGACGATAAGCATCTTCAATCACTGTTCCTCATAGTCGACTCAGGATGGAGAAGACAGAGATGGGTGCGGCCAACAAGTCGGTCCCGGAGAACTCCTCCATGGACCAGGTGCAGCAGCAGACCTCGGTCGCCTCAGGGCAGTCTGTCGAGAAGAAGAATCCTTGGTGGCATCCGATCATCGAGCCTGGCTCTGCCATCCAGATCATCATCGCTGCCGCCCTTGCAGTGGGTATCGGTCTCGGCGTCAAGAGCGCTCACCCTGATATTCCCGACGCTGCGACCACGATCCTCATCATCCCCGGTAATCTCTGGTTGAGGGCTCTAAAGGCTGTTGGTAAGTTTCGTTCAATGTCCGTCCTTAATTGATCCTTGGGTCTTCCTTTTGCCCTTGGTAAATTAGTCGTGTGCATGTCAGCAACTAACACGACGCTAGTCCTACCAATGATTGTGACGGCAATGATCCTCGCAGTGCAGAAGCTCAAGGAGATCAGCCACGGCGGCGCAAAGCTGGCAAAATGGACAATCGGCTACTACGTCCTGACCACCATCGTCGCAATCGTCCACTCCATCATCATGACCTCCCAGGTCTGGGCTCGCTTGATGACCGTGGCTTCAGCAGAGTCTATCGCCGTTGACGGGATGTCCGAAAAGGACCAGGAAACATACGACGAACGTCAGGAGCAGGATATTCCAGCCACCGTGACCGAACTCTTCAACTCTCTCGTACCGGCGAACGTGGTCAATGCTCTCGCCTCCGATCACCTTCTTGCCGTTCTGGTATCTGCGGTGGTTGTAGGATATCTCATCGATGACCGCGATGGAAGATCATCTCTCATGAAGGCTTGCAGAGAGATCGAGGCCATTATCCTCGTTGTCATCTCATTTTTGATCTCTCTGGCCCCTATCGCCATATTCTTCCGTCAGTAGAATCCTTCCTTGAAAGCTTGGCTTCGAACCTACCAAACTAACGTGAGCCAGTTATTCTTCCGAATATGTTCAAGCTCGATATCAACGACATCGGTGTCAACCTCGGCATCCTGATGGGCGGCTCCATTAGCTCGATGTTCATCCACCTATTCGTGGTTCTGCCCCTTATATTCTTTGCCTTTACTCGCATGAACCCCTACACCTTGTGGTTCTCATGCTCTCCAGCTTGGTTGACCGCCTGGGGAACTGCGTCGTCCGCCGCTACACTCCCATTGACAATGAAATGCGTCCGCGAAAAGGCCAAGGTCCCCAACACCATTGCTAAATTTGCAGTGCCCCTCGGGTGTTTGATCAACATGGACGGCACGGCGATTTATTTCCCAATCGTCGTCGTGTTTCTCGCGCAGACACAAGGCCATGTTCTCAATGCCGCAGACTACATCATCATTCTCTTGCTTTCGACTCTGGCGTCCATCGGCACTACCCCTATCCCTAGCTCTTCCCTCGTCCTGACCGTCATGATCTCCTCGAGTGTCGGCATCCCGCCTAGCGGCATGTGTATGTCATATTCTCTTCCTTTCTGCGGATACTTTGCTAACCTTAACCCTAGACGGAGTAGTTGTAGCCGTGGACTGGTTCATCGACAGATTTAGGACTGCAACCAATGTGTCTGGCGACCTTTTTGCTGCCGTAATCGTCTCCAAGATGACTGGCATCACGGATCCTGAAGATGGATCCGAAGATGAGGTGACGGAGGTCAGACAGAACGACGATCGCGTCTAGTCCATTCTTTGGGAATCAATAGTGTAACAGATAATGTTGTACAAACGGAGCGAATACCATTTGATTCAGTCCTTTGGCATGGGTCTATGCTGCCTGACGGTCTCCAAATATGAAATGATCTCTTGCGTCTGCGGGTGAGAAAAAGCCCTCCAACTTATATACGTTAGAACGACCTTTGGCGGCACATAATGCGTCCGGTGTCGCGCGGTCAACTGTCGAAAATCCCGCTTGAGAATCGCTTATTGGCATAGATATCTGGGCGGTCCCACTCCTTGTCCATTCTGAGGTTGTCTCGGCCTTGAGTACGACGGTATATCGGTCACTAAACCTTTCGCCGTGTCCAGAGTCCACTGGCGGGGCGAACTTTCGTCTGGCCGATATTTACATTCGAGAGGTGCTCGCGGAGGAGAACTTAGTTATATCAGAACCCAAAATCATCCCTTTTCTTTCAGCCACAGTGACTGTGTTAAACAAATATATACTTCATCGCGTAAATCTCGACAATTAGTTACTTGAATAAGCCATTTTTCGTTCGCTGAAAATCAACAGTAAACAGTACGCCGGACTATTTGAAGGACAGTCTATGAAACGGACAGCACCCCGTATGAAACAAATTCCCCCAAATGCCAGACTGTCCCAACATCATTCCCTGCAGACTCATCACGTCCTCCTTCGCTTGACCCTGTGCCAGTACGGCTCCCGATTCTCGCCCTCTGTAGTGACAACCTTCATCCAACCAATCTCAGACTCACCCATGTTCGGCTTATCCAAAAATGCCTCCTTCACGCCATCTACCAACTCGAGCCGTCTCTTCGACGTGTACTTCGGGGTCTTCGGCCCAATGCGTGCTCGATTGTCGCTTAGCGCTATACGTCGATCAGGCCTTTGTTGTGGAGCCTCTGGATGTCTCCACGAAAGCCTTAGTCTCTCCGGCTGAATCATGTTCCACAAGTCGCAGTCCTCGTCGCCCTCGAACCAAGGTTTCCATGGGAGCCATAGTCCTCCGCTCAGGTTCTCCATCACTTCGTATGGGCTTTCAAGTAGTTGTAGAGCAATGGCAGAGCTCCAGGGCGACAACGTGTGCGAGATTACCGGGGGATCAAACACCGAAGATGCTGGGTAGAGGCGGAGCCCCGGCCGGAGCTGCGGGTCGTCCCAGTCGCCCGTCCAGCCCGTGTTGTCTTCGTTACGCTGGAATCCGGGCCACCAGGGCATGGGCGAGTGGCGTTCCCATTTGTCAAACGCCGTGGTGTCGAGGTGTACCGGGAGAGCACTCTCGTCAATTTCGTCCTCCTTGTACGTCGTTGGTACAACACGCATCACCGGCTGAAAGTATCTCAAGCACGAATCCGTGACCAGAAGAATCTGTTTCCTTTTTCGAAACCCGAAGGTGGGATCGGCCCCCTGAGGTGTTTCGCCATACACCCTCATCTCATATACAAACTCCGCGTCAAGGGTTTGTGTATCAATGTCCTTAACATCGTCATCTCTCAGCTTGAACTTTGTGCGGTTCGGCCGGGTAAACGTGATGATCTCAGTGTGGAAGAAGTCCGCCAACATGTGCAACATCTCGTGGTAGCCGGCCTCTTTGGGCATTCCGGCATCTGGCCTGTTGCTACAGAGGGCGCGGAACATGCTCATCTTGCCCCAAATCTCTTCGTCGTCTGGGTCGGCGCATCTGGCCGAGTCGGCGAGAAGTTGGCTGTACATGCGAAAGCGTTTTGCCCGACGGACAGCATGATGAGCGCCCGTATTGGGATGTTCATACGTCATGTCGAAGAACCATTTTGCGGCAAGACACTTAATGTCCTTTGCCTTCGTGGGATTGTGCTCGACCAGCAACTTGCGAGGTTCTTATCGTCAGTATCGGTGTCTCATTTGTTTTCTGCGAACGACAGATCAGGGAAAGATTCAACTTACGCCAGCGCATACCACAAGCTATTCTCGTTTTTCGGCGTGGGTCCTGCCCAAAACTTGTACTCCAGATTATCCTTCGAGCCAACAGGCTTGTCCTGAGGATGCATGAAATGCGGCTTGGCCTCGAAGCCGTAGCAAGCCAAGTCGTCAAAGATATCCTCGTCCTCACGTTCCTTCGCATCCAAGACCATGAAAGCTGTGGGCAGCCACGTCTTCCCCTTCCTAGGCCGGTCACGCGCCAGCTGTGCCACGTCTGCACGCGCGTAATGGGCGTTAAACTGGTTCACGCTCAGGGGAACTTCAACACTTTGTGACCAAGTAGCCGAGGTGATGTCTTGTGGCAAGTCCCAATTTGTCAGTATATGGTTATTAGATTGCCACGGCTGAATTCGGACCTTGGTGTTGGGTGACCAACACGGGTGACCTGGGCGTCGGATACCAGCTATCGTGTGTATGGCCGAAAGGACGCGCTTGTTTGCCTCGATGACGCGTTTCTGAGGGACGTCGCCCGGGATGATGTCTATCTCAGTTACATTCTGTTCGTCACGCCATATGCGGCTGAGAACCTTATTGCACCAGTGTGTGAACAATTTCGGCTTCGGGCGGTAGCCGGTCGGGCGGGCTGTTGTTGAGTGAAGACCTAGAATTCTGTAAGCCAGCTGGACGTCGCCGTTGTCGGGCTTGCATCCTAGGATCTTCGTGACCGTGGGAAGCCGCCGTTCTATCCAACGTGCCCCTGGTGGGTTTGCGAAGTTGATGGCGTTGGCCATTTTGGAATGCTTAGATTTTGAAACGGTACTGGAGGTTTGGATAAGTTACTACTCGGGGTGGAAATGCCGAATTCATCATGAGACATAGTTTTCTTCCTGCATCTTTTATGCTTTCTGTCTTGATCGGATGGATGAGAAGACATCTTTCTGACCATTATCTACTTACTCTTTGGAGATTGATTATCCACTTTGTACAGGGCAGGTTGTAAAAGAGCTTCATAACTGCAACACAATGAACACTTTTGTCATTGCCATGCCAAACTCAACGATGTTCAAATGGGCTTTGTTGAGGGAAGAACCAACTCCGATTCCCATGTCCATCAGACAAGGCACAATAGCCTTTGTTTACGCCTCTTTTGTGTTCAGTGAAGCTTGGCGAAATGCACGGTCTTGATATGGGAAACTGTCGAGGCATAGGGTTTTCTCATGTAATAAACCCAGAGTTGACACATCACACGCAGAGAACATAGCATCAAATAACAGTGCAACTAATGATATATTTCTCTAAAAGGCGCCTCTATCCCAGGCACGCCATGCAAACTGACCCAGGGAAAAGAAAAACGAAACCACAAGCCCGCACAATCTTTCTCTCCGCTGTTCACCATCCGCTTCTAAAAAAAAAACCCACAGCCCAAAACAAAATTCTCCAAGGGACGGTGCTCCCATACTCCGTGACAGTCTCTCGCAAAGCGCGGGTATGAACGGTGGGTAAAACCAAAAGCAGAACGCAAAGAGAGAAAGAGCTAGTAGTAAACATAAAGAACCCCCCAATGTCTCCATTCCAATCCCATTCCTTTGTTTTTTTCCCTCTCTGTCGTATGAATGCATGGAAGAAAAGAGGTACCAGTACATGATATAAACCAAAAGAACTCCGGGAAGCATCATGATGACGCCGACTACGAAACCCCCATAACGGGGCAACTTCCTATGAGTTGAAGATGTTACGTCTTGTTGGGGCGCCTACCGCCGCTTCGTCGGACTCACTCCGCCGCTTTCGAAGCTCAGGTCAACGCTCCACAGCGAATCCCAGACCACGCTCCTCTTCGTCGGGCTCGAACTCTCCCTGCTCATCTGGCGACGGAGTCTCTGAGGGGATCTGGCTTTCTAACCGCCGCGCAAAGAGCGGAACGGGTATCAGCGAGGGAGCTGCGATTTTCACGGTCCAACGAGGGAATCGATCATGTTTCGTACCTCGGGCGACCTGGGCCTCTCCTCGGACGGGCCCTCGGTCTGCGGCGAGCTGGCTGAAGCCTGCCCTTGGTCTTGTCCATTCGACGACGGTCCTGCCAGTCCCCCTTGCGGCGGGCTGGTGCCCGTGGGTGTCTCCGGTGCCACGGCGCGGAGAGAGTTGGTCTCGCTGCCCAGGGCGTTGCCTTTGAGCAAAGCAGCTCCCCCAGCGCCGACAGCGAAGGGGATGGCCTTCTTCGAGTTAGAACTGCTCCGACGACTCTCCAGACTTCTGTTAAGCGCCTTGCTGACACCCTCAATGCTATTGACGCTGATCCTGTGCTTGTCCTTGCCATTCGCCTGTGCGTGGGTGTGCATGTCGGCCATAGCCTCGACGTTGTTTGTCGCTATCGTCGACTTGCCCAGACCAGGCGTCGCAGGCGCACCCGGCTTGTCTTCGTGAGCGTCGATGAGATACCACCTCAAGCCGTCTGACAGCTGGAAAGGGTTGTCGTCATCTTCGCCGTTGACGGAGTCGGTCTCGGCCGGCCTCGTCAAGCTCTTGGAGAGGTCCACGACGCGTTCTTGGATACGCGTAATGCGAGCGACGAGCCACTCGCGAGAGCGAAGTCGGTGAGCGTCGGTCTCGCGCAGGAAGTAGTGGGGGAAGCCGACGTTGAACGCGGCCCAGGCGCCGGCTGTCTGGTTCCTAGTAGGCAGGAAGAGAGCAAGATCGCCCTCTTTGAAGTGCTTGAACGCAATCTTCTCGTGGGAATCCCTCTGCAGCGTGTGTGCCTTCTCTCTGTAGGCACGCGCGTCGCGCTGGAGCTTACGAGCGAGGTGCTCAACGTCCTTGACACGCCTGTAAACTGTCTCAGCGAACAAGTCCATGTCGAAGCTGCCCAGCTTGGTCATGAAGGCTTCGTATTTCTCGGACTCGAAATCGGCATCGCTGCCATTCATCCAGTACAACAGGTCCAGGTCGGTGCTATCGGCCAGGGTGCGACTGGTGAGCATGCCAGAGCGGCGTATCGTAGACTGGCTTGGGTCGGAGGAGTCGTTGACGTTGTGGATCTGGCTCATGGTTCCCCTCTCGGATCTCGGGACCTTCTGAATAGTCATTGTAGATTCTTGACGGGTGACTGAGAATCCGAGTCGCTCCAGCAGTCGACACAGGCGATCGTTGTGAGAGTACAGACGCTGCGTCAAGTCCTTGGTCTTCTCTGACCTGGTGTCGAAGTGGCCAGTGACGGTCGTAAGCTTAGCCTGGGAGGCCTGTAGCTTCTCTTTGTAGAGGCGCAACTCCTCCTCCAGGCTGCCTACTTGAGACTGTCTGGAGGCAAGCTCCTCTTTGATGGAGGTGATGCGCTCTTCTTCCTCGTCAAGCTTCTTCCGCAAACTCTCCGAGCCCGTCTCGCCGTCAGCAATCTTGGCCCGCAGCTGGTCAAGCTGCTCTCGGCTCTCGGCGGCCTCTTGTTCAAGAGCAGCAACTCTGGCTTTCTCACCGTCCAGGTTCTCCTTGAGATGTCTTGAGGTCTCTTCCTCGGCCGCGAGCTTCTCCTTAGTCTCGGTCATCTCCGTCTTCAGACTCTTGACATGCTCTTCGGCCTGTTCGAGGTCGGCCTTCAGAATCGACTTGTCGTTGTCCAGGGTCTTCAACTTGGCAGCAACATCAGTAGCCTTATACACGAGTGCTTCGATCAGATCATTGAGGTCTTCGGTGGTATCGTCGTTCGGCGAGAGTTGATCATGAATGTCGCGAAGAGCCTTGAGCTGCGTGTCGACCGTCTCTTGAGCAGAGCCCAGGCTCTTGGTCAGCTTCTTGGCTTCGTCGTTCGCGCTCTGAAGCTGCTTTTCGAGAGCCTCGTTCTGCTCCCTTTGCAGACGCGCCTCATTGCGGAGGAAGTCAACCTGGCCCTGAGTCTTGAGTGAGTCATCCTTCTGATCCTTTTGCAGGCGATCGATCTCAGCCTCCATCTCGTGCATCCGCTCGATGTAGGTGGCCTTCTCATTCTCCCTAGACTCGCCAAAGTTCTCGATGTCGTCCTCGGTCTCCTCAAGGCGCGCCTTAAGTCCCTTGATCTCGTTTTCGAACGACTTCCTCTCTATGACGAACTCCTTCTGCAGCGCCTCCATGTTCTCGAGTAGCTCCTTCTTGGTGGCGTTGGCCTCCTCCATCTGAGCCCTAGCCGCCTCCACCTGGGATTTTGCCTCGTCCACCCGACCCAAGACTTCGTTGTGCTCCGTCGTCCGGGCAGTGAGATCCTTCTCGAAGGCGGCTGCCTTCTCCTTCTCGGCATTGAGCTCATTCTCGAGCTGCTGAATCTTCTGCAGAAGGGCTTCAGAGTTGCCAGCTGCGCGGCGGCTGTCTTCCGGTGGTACAGACCTGACAGAGTTCGTAGAATCGTTCCTCTCGTGACCGAACAGTCCACCGATGCCAGGGCGAGAAGAGGCCTGGCTCTGCCTATGAAGCAAGTCCTCTAACCTGCGCACCCGACTTTCTGCGGTCTTGAGCTTGTTCTGGAGTTTAGTGTTGTCATCTCGAAGCGTATGGTTCAAGTCGTCGTCTCCACGAATCATCAGGCCACTACGCCCAAGGGCAGCCTCGTGGACACTCCCGTTCTTGAATGCCTTCAACCTCTTTGACTGCTGCTTCGTAGGGTTGCTCAGCTCATTGACAAGCTTCGTCACGTCCTCGATGATTGCCACCTCAGCCTGCTGTCTCTGGAGGTGTTCCAGGAATTCCTCGAGGTCGCGCTTCACCATACTGGGCCAAGGCTCCTCCTCTCCCAGCAAGTTGACCTCCAGACCAAGAATGTTGGCTTCCAAGTTGTCGCGGCCATACATGCTGCCCACCATCTTGTGCCACTTTCTTCGCCTCTTCGATTCCTCGTCCTGAAACAGAGCCATCTCGTTGGCCAGAGTCGATGAGTCCGTCTTGATCTTGTCTGACCACTCCCGGCGACGGATCGCCTCCGAAGCGAAGGAGGCATACATGTAAGGCAGCTGGTTGATGAGCCGCAGGTAGTCAAACGTCGTCATGACGTCCTCGGCCTGGTTCAAGACCGTAATTTGATTCTTAACGCTGCTATGCATCGATGTAATCTCAGTAATGTTCCGCATGAAATCGATAGAATCCGCTGCGATGGTGTTGCGCGCCTCTGTGGCGTAGTGCAGCATGTCAGCCATCTCTGCAGCGCGCTTCTTCAGGCTCGGAATCAGACGCGACGTGTGGTTCTCCGCCGTACGCGAGGCCTGGAGGACGTTCGTCTGGGTGTCGGCGTACTCCAGCATCGTGCTGTAGTCCGTTTCTATCTTCTTAGCCACAGCCTCGATATCCTGAAGCAGTTGTGCCGCCTCCCCGCTTCGAGCCAAGGAAGACCGGCCAACAAGATTGTCAAACTCCCCAAAGAGCCGCTCCACCCCGGCGTACATCTTGTCGGCCGTCTTGTCGAGGTCTGCCGCCTTGGCGCTGAACTTCTTCAGCAACGTCGGCGCCAGCTTGCCGGACTTCCTTGCCGTGTCGAGATCGATCAGGTCCTCGAGCGTGGCCTGCTTCTTCTTGAGGTCGCGCGAGGTCATGAAGCGCACCATTGCGGCCGAGATGGGCACGCTGCGCGCAACCTCCAGACACCGCTCCCAGCTCCCCGCCAGCTGCCCGAACTCGCCCATCGACGGCTCCACCCACTTCTTGAGCTCCGTGTACTTCGGGTCGATCTGCTTGACACTAATCTCGAGATTGGTCACCGCCGCATCGAGGCACTTGATCATGACATCCATCTCGCCATAGCGGTCCTGCACCTCTGCGGCCAGGCGCGCAGAGTCACCCACGATGCCGAGGGCCCAGGCCTGTCTTTCCTTATAGAGAGCCTGCCATTCGGACAGCACGCGGATGTCGCCGATGTAGTTCGGGGCGTTGGGGACGGTGTAGCGTTTCGGGAGGGGCACTTCGGACTTGGGAGAGGGTCCACCGGGGGACGTCGGTGAGGATATCCGGATGTCGTAGACGTAGATCTCTGTCTGGAGGGTTGTCAGCTTGCGCTCCTCGCCTTCGAACCTTTGAAGCCCGTTACCTCTTGATGCAGTGTCTGCAACTTCACCGCCCGTCCTTGGGAAGTCAAAGCGACGACCTGATGCGCCGGAATCCACGTGCTCCTCGCAATCCACGCCTTCAGCTCATCGAGCCTAAAACCAGAGAGTCAGTCTCCCAAAACATTGCCCCGCAACAGAAAGAAGATATCCTACGCGGCAAACTGCGTTGTGTCTACCTGCAGGCGCTGGCCCGTATGGGCAATCAACACCTGCGTCGCCATCCCGGAGCATCTCCCGGCCTCAGCTGCGATAGCTGGCCCGCCGCTCGGTCTCGGGGTTTGTTGACGAAGACTCTCGTGGCCCGTCTAGCTTGTCTTCGAACGTTGCGTTTCGAACTGCTGTTGCGGTACGCGAGGACAACAGAGGTTCGTCGTCTTGTTGTCGTCCTCGTCGTTGGGGGCGCCGGTCGGTGGGAAGGATGCGGGACGCAGCGGTTGTTGCAAAGGCGCGAGCGTTCGTCCCGCCGGGCTTCCAAAAAAGATGACCGCTGAGGCGCCCGGAGCTCGTGCAGGCTGCAAACCCGCTAAAAACCTTGGTGGGCGTAGCGTGATGTCGCCTCGTGATCCTTGTTGTCATTTGATTGGGTGGTCTGGGGAAAGGCTCACTCCAGCCACAGATAACCTAATAATCGCGGCTGACTCGCCCGATAAGAAAAATCACAGGCAAGCCAGGAACGATGCACCAGCCACACTGCCACGTTCTCGGCTCCGGACTTGCAATCCCAGCGCCAATCCATCCCCGCCGGATCTTGTGATTTCGGGCGAGTTCAAGCTAAGAGTCGCGTACCGCGTTCCGAACGCGGGCGGACGATATTCGGGCTCACTCCACGGAAGCAGTCAACGAGGAGGGTCCGCATTCCCCAGCCCGATGCCAGACACGCACACCGACGAACATGGATGAGCCTCAAACCCAGGCGACCTCAACGTCAAAACAGGAAGACGAGGTGCCGCCCTACCTTTTATCCAAAGATGAGCAGCGCGTTCTGGAGCTCTACGATGAGCTGCGCGACCTCGAGGTGAAGATTGCCCTCGTCAGAGCGCAACAGAGTTACAGACCAGGTACTTCTTCCCCATTTAGTCTATGCTTCTGGATATCATTTTCTCACATGACGAACCAGATTCTTCGGCGCCAGACAGCCAAGATGACGTGCGAAAAGCGCAGGAGGACGCGGCCAAGGCGCGTGCTGGATGGCTCTTGAGGAACGATATTACGGATAGCGTCATGACCGCCAACCCCATCCTCAAAGCTGTGCATGGAAGCACAAAAGCCACGCCCATTGAAGTGTAAGCTTACTCCCGCACTCGGAATCTCCTTCACTCGGGCTTCATTTCGTTTATTTGCTGTTCTTCCCTTGGTATGGAATCTGTCAATCCCACCACTAACACACCCAAGGGACCTTTTACCGCACATCAACTCCCGCGATACCTCGTCCGTCGCCCTCGCGCAGACATCTAATGAGATCCGCACGACTCTCGACAAACTCACTGACGTCGAGGCCGAGAGCCTCCGTGTCGGCCGGCGCAACGTCGAACTCACCGCCGAGGTGCTCCGATTAGCGGAGGAGGCTGAGAGGAGGAAGGCCGGCGAGACCGACGATCCGGCCGTGCAGGCCCAGATGGCAAGCTTACAGGCCGAGTTGAAAGCGAGCAGACAGCGGTGGAAGGTCATGAAAGGGACTGCGAGTGCCGTCGTGGCCGGGAGCGGTGTTGATTGGGCGAGGGACGAGGAGTTAAGAGAGATGGTGCTGGATCCTGAGGATGACTGATCGATGCAGAGCCTGTCAATCGGCAGTGGTTCTCTCTGGCTGGCAGCCTCTCATCGAAATGAATATTGACGCGACATCTCACGCTGGCAGCAGCATTAGTGGAGTCGGTTCAGACAAGTGGCCTGGGCCCGACGTATCGCGGACGTTCCGATTTTCGTTACTTCAAGACAGAAACACGCTGCTCCATTGCCCGAGGCCAAATTGGGTTCGTAAGGACGTGGCCAAGGTGGACCGGAGTCGGCTCTGATCCGTTGTCTACGATCGCCAGATGCACAGTACCTGACCTATGCAGGTACGGACCGTACGGGACCCTAGGAGATCTCACGGCTACAATTGCTTCTTTCTAACAGCAGGGCAGACAGAGGACCCTAGATCACGGTGCTCGCCCTGCCCTGCGCACGATCGATCAGTCGTGCCTCGCCTCCGACTGCGCGGCACCGGCACTTTTGGCCTTTTCGTTTCCCAAACTCATGTTCGGCCCCTGCCGCCTCCACACAATCTCACCACTCAGAAGCTCGGAGGAAGCTTGACAAGGCTTAGCGGGACCCAGGCGCTATGACCACCGTGAATAGTCACGTGAGTCATGGTCCGCCGCCAACCAGTGCCTTGGATGATAGCATTGAAGATGTCGCGATCTTGTTGTATGAAGAAATTTTGAGCGACCCAAATGCGCACGTGGAAGCTCTGCCGGTACAAGGTCTCCCAATAAGAATTCTAAGTTATCTGATTGCAAATAGCCCAATGCATGCGTCGGTGCAAGCCAGCGCGCCACTGAGGGGAAGCACGCGATATCCTCTCAGAAGACGTTGCGGAAGGTTTGGGGTCATCCACAAAGTCAACGGAGGGAGTAAAAGAAAGAGAGGGAGCAGGCGAGGAAACCACAGACCGCAGAGGTTCGGGGGAGGGCAAAGCTCCCCGTCAGTCAAGCTCTGTCTTTGCAGACCAGATCAGCTCGGAGGGAGTGGAGCTGATTGGCGTTGGCTTACACTGCAACATGTACCTTACCTTACTTCGCGTGCAGGTCAGGTCGTGAGAGTGGGCAAGGCGACTGACAGTGTACCGCCGTATGGTTTGGGAGGGGGTGTGTGTGGGAGAGGAGAGTGTCCTCAGGGAGGGCGAAATTTTGCTGGGGGAGCATCAGGTACAGCACAGTATCAGCAAAGCAAAAGGTGACTAGCCCAGCGAAATTGCCTGGCACCGTGTATCCGCTGCAGGTCGCGAGTACTTTGCGCACTTTGCTGGCCAGCGCGCCGCCTATCCCATTACCAGGGCCCTCTCTTTGGTGCCAGCCAAACAGGGAACAAGCGAGCAAAAGCAAAATGGCTGGGCCCGGCGGGCTGTCTGGAATGTGCGGAACCGTCGTGCTCCTGGCAGACATGGCCTGTCTGGCCATGAGCCATGGCAAAGTGCTGTGCCGGCCTGTGAAGTTGCAGAAGCCGCCTGCATTGGCAGTGTGCATTGTAGAGGGGTCTCTCTGACCGCGGTTGCAGGCATTACCCAGCATGGCGCCTCGAGGGTACACATGACGCCCGCACATTTCTGCGCATAACAAAGTATTCCCACTCTTCTCTCACTGCCGAGAGCGTTGCACTGCCTGGCTGCTTCGCCGTACCCCCAACTGAGGAGCTTAGGCGGAGGCACAGAGACGAGGCCGAAATACAGCGAGGTGCGCCGACGACCTCGGCGTTCTGTTGCATGTACATTGATTGATAAAGCTCCAGAGAAGCTGAGCACGCAGCGCCCTCATCCGTAGCTGATAGCTTGATAGGCCGGCGATGCTACCGCTTGATCTGATTCGCCTTGTTGTCTCTGAAGTAGCAGCTTGGACGCATGAGCATCCGTAGCATTCATTCAGTTGTCGAGGCCAGTGGGTGACCAGGGATTGCCTAAGGTGGTCAATCAGTCTGTATCGTCTATTGTTAGCATCCGTATGATTCCAGCACGTGCTACAGACTGGCCTCTGGGTTTGAAGAGGAAGAGGGGAAAGAGCAGCAGTTGTTGAAGCACAGGGGAGGCTGGGGAGCCCAGAGAGTACCGTCAGCTGGGGGCGAGAGTGATTGGGCGCAATCGCCCAAGCTGATTCCGGTCGTGGTGGACCAGTTTCGCGGTACTTCGCGCCATGTAGCGGTACATGGCAATCTCGTATGACGATACATGGGGCGTATGCATGAATAAAGTACCCGAGTTTTGTTTCGGCCATCTCAAGTGATCCCCATCAGTGATCAGTCAGTCATTATGGCCTCCCGGTCGTCCCAACGTCGCATCTCCCTGAGCAACGCAGCGCAGTCTGTTCGGTGCAGCAGTACATGGCTGCACTTGATGCCGTCTCGTCAAACAGTCGAGTGTATCCGTACGACCATAGAGAAAATGTCTGTTTCCCTGCTGGATCGAGGCAGTGTGCCTTTGCAACACGGTGAAAGTAGCTAGGATTGTGTCGTCAATGGTGACAAGCAGCTGGGAGCCGCCTTGTGTTGCACGAGGCTGGTGCTATTGCTGCTCATGTCGCGGGCGGAAGGTTTCGAGGTCTCGTCAAGTCGCGTTGAACCGCGGTGTGGATGCGCCGATGTAAGGTAGGAACCTCGCCGGAAGTCAGCTAATGTTGTTGCAGTTTGGGCTGCACGGGACAGCCACTACTGGAGTAGCAGTATGTATCCTGTCTAACCGCGTGGATTTGCAACCCAGGTCAAGCCTGGCATGGAGCGTTTGTCGAGAACTCTGCGCTGAAGTACTGGTGGGCTTGGTGTGCTTTGGCAGACGGTCTCATTAGTTGGTGTGATGATGATAGGACAAGCCACTTGAAGGAGGGGGAATGGACAAAGTGTGTCGAGTGGTGTTTTAGTGTGGGCGAGATTGCGCAGCGACGTCCAGACACAGTGTGTGCGCGCAGGGTGTGTCGTCTCCAACGCGACGACTTTGCAGTCATCCAAGAGTACCCAGAGGTGGTGCCCCATCTGTTTCCTCACCTCACACACCAGACCAGCTCAAGCTAGTTGGTAGTAGTAGTAGGTCTTGGTGTTTTTTTGGTGAGGATATCCGGATGCTGCGAAGCTTGTCGACAGATGACGCTAAATGGAGAAAGCCTCTAAGCATGAGGTCACAAGCATCCACAACCCCAGCAGATAGGAACAAATCTGGTCCTCTTGTTGTATACGTGCGGTCTGTCGTATTCAAAGTTTGCGTTGATAGGGTCTTTGTAAGTGACGCAGTCCCAAAATTTTAACACATCAGATGCAGTCTCGTCGAGTGCCAGGAAGACACTGCTCACATTAGCCGAATGACCTTGTCCCAGTACAGTGAGAAGGGACGAGGGCTGAGTGTGGAGGGGACGGTACAGCAGGGTCTGAGGCGAAGCCTGTTGCTGATTATTGATTTCTGGCTCCTGGCAATCACCTCCGAGTCCCGTCGCCTGCGCGACGCGGACTATGCTGATTTCCCTTCGTCTAGGAGCAAGGGACC